ACAGGAAAACCAAAATGGTTTGTGTCTTTGTTTGATGGCCGACCAAGTCAAAGTGGAAGGAAGATGAGGAAAGCTAGAAGACTTGTTCAAAGAAGAAGCTAGTTGCAGAGTTGATCTTTTAGAGCTTCTGATTTAATGTTTCCTGAATAAGTGCTTTTTGGGTTGGAAGTTTTTGTTATGACTGGCATTGGCTTGTCTAAAATTGTCAGCCTTCTCTTGTCTTTATTATGCTTTGTAATTTTGTCTTTCTTTATTATAAAATATATTCGAAGGTTTAAGCTATTAATCTTTTTTAGTTGTCCAATTAATCTACTTGCTTTAGCAGACTCATAAAAATTTTTGTTTGGATTTTTATGGAATCATTTCATAAGTGGGGAATCTGGATTTTTGGATGGTCATCGTCTTGGGGATATAACTGTAATTGTCATGTTGGGAAGGGTAAGTCTTATGATTTGGGCTTCGGTCTCTCTCTTGCACTTGCTTTCGGAAACATCTTCTTCACAACAGAAAGAATCCAATGAAACATTATCAGCATCACCTCAATTTCACCCCTTTAGGGTTCCTCTTCTATTATGAATCCCAACTCCTGCGTTCCATCTGCGGCAAATCCATCAATACCCATCCTATTCTCCCTCAACCTCTGTTTTTACTTCCAACGGGAAGAAGGAATAGGATTGGGAAAGGGAATAAAGTTTTGGTTTTTTTTTTTTCCTGAATTTTTAACATTTTCCTTCAGCTATAACTATTGTGGGGGCTTGAGGCACCTAAATCCGCTGTTATCAATCGACCCCCCTTCATTTCCGGATCCAAGTGTTTGGGTTTCGTGCAACACAATTGAAATTTGAAATGCTCAATAAAATTTTCATCCAAAAGTAGTCACTTCCCATGTCGTATTAGTCTCCAATTGTTTCAATCCGTCCTTTTTTGGTGGAATTTACACTTTGAGATTGTGAATACTTGGCATTGTTGGTACCAGAGCTCTTCTGAGATCGTTAAGTGAAAAAACAATGATCTGGGTGGTGACCAATGTGAGGTTTTAGGCCTGGGTTTGGAGTCTCTGAAGATTTTGCTGAAGTGGGGGGTCTTTCTAGGGGCAATGTTTTGTGGTTTTTTGGTTTTCTGGTGCAAGAGGGTGCTTGCGGTGGAGGAAGTGGTGAATGCAAGGTACGGAGTGATTGAGCAGTGGGCATTGTTGTCGAGGAATGCGTGGCCTAAGGTTTCTATGGTTTGTAAGATTTTCAAAGACCAAGGTGTGATTCTGACCGCACTTTAGGTCTATCTGCATTATTCTCAATGGCAGAGACTTCTATAACTACACTTGTGGCCATGGAAGGTT